GGTCAACGGGACAGGCTGTGCCTTAGCTAGGTAGGACATGCAAGATAAAGAAATCCCTCGTGGCAAGGCAGGCCTAGATATTCTTTAAAATCACACCTCCTACTGTAAAAGTAATATGAAGAAATTGAAATTATTTTAGGTGATACTTCAAGATATTCTTTGATACACATTTTGCCACATTATTCTGTTCAAGAACATTGCTACGAGTAGTGTAGGCAATGTACCGGTTACACCGGTATAACTGGCTCTGCAACAAATTTTTGCTTAAAAAGGTTGAAACCACTTCTCCCTCTCAGAGAATAAGGAGCCCAAGCCTAGACAAAATTCTGTGTTTAAAGTTAGACATGAAAAGTACAAAACTGAACTGATGATAACTTACATAAATACTGATAAATATACTGGTATAAATAACGGTATAAGTGATACAAATGCTGATTTAACTTGGGAGCGTTTAGAGACTCACTTGGAATTAGACTGAAAGCTGCAGGCAGCTGTCCACAGTCTCTTCCTCCAGCAGGCAACACGGACAGCCAGAGTTAATCCCATCAAAAGATCCCTGAAACATCATTAGCCTTTAACGTTAACACTAATCGCAAATGCTTAAATAAAAAAAATTGACCGAGCCGCACAATTAAGCAGAGAAACGTCAAAAGAAATGGTGATTCTTTTTCCTTATTTTATTGGGTAAATGATTTAAAAGGTAATAACAATAGTGTTAAAACTACTACAATATCTTTCCACAGCCATATCTCACAGACCCACAGATAACCTTCTATATATATATTTTTTTTTGCTTTTTTCCTCATTTTTCTCTTTTTAAGCCGTACTTATATTAAAATGCCCATTTCAACAGTTTCTTCACACTAATAGCAATTAAATGTGGAAGGAAGGAGGATCTAGTTATAAAGGAAGGGGGTTCAGGTAATCTGTGATATTACTGTAATCAATCAAGTTCCGAAGGGAGGAAGGAAAAGACGGAGGCCTTGCCAGCTACTCCAGGTAGCTCCCAGCCCCTTCTGCGTCACCATCGCACTAAAGATAACTCAAGATGCTGGTGAACAGTTTAAAGTAATTTTTTTTGTAACATATAAAACACTAAAATAACTTAGAAACTAGATCCAAATATCTTGAAAAGAATCAACTTTGATATACAAAAACAGTCATAAGCTGTTACAAAAGTTTCAAACAAAAGTTTGTTTTCTCAGTGCGTTTATGTACCAGCGCAATTACTGGGTCCAGAGCAAAGAAAGAGGTTTTTCTTTTTTATTTTTTCTTTTAACAGTAATAAAAAACGAGGAAAACATATCTTTGTATATAAAGAATCATTGCTGGTCTTAAGAATAAATGTAACCAGAAACCCTTAAATCTGAGAGGCACACTTTGGGTTTCTTTTTTTTTTTTTTTTTAAACTTTTTTTTTTTTTTTAACATAAAAGGAAAGTCACCAGTTTATTTAAATGGAGGAGATATTCAGACTCCCCAAATAAACTTAATTCAATTAACATCACTAGCAAAAATCAGTTAGAAACTGTACAAAAATAAAAAAGTTAACACATTTAATCCTGCAGGGCTTTTGTAAGGACTGGAAGGCAGGCTTTAGGAGCAGCATTTGGGCATGGCTGGAGGCTTCTTTGGTTCGATCTAACACACATAAGAGATGTAACCTACTCCAGACAACAATTTTAAAAACCCGCACATTTGAAGACAAGTAAAGAGGTCCGTATACAAACGCCAGGGTGTGCAAATGGATCTGACTGCCGTGGTTTACTCGTGTATCTGAGGTCCGAACCGCGGTGTGCCCTCCCCTGCTAGGATCAGCGCTGGGGCCGAGATGGTGCGAAGTCAGTGCTACAGCAGTCGAGGCAGAAGGAAGGCCACTTGAAGCGTGACTAAGTAATAGTTCCATGTCAAGTCTACGGTTTTGTTGTCGAACTCAGTTTACAGAAGAGGGTTTTTAGGAACATTAAGAAAAAGAATTAAAAAAAAAAAAAAAACCAAACCCAACAATCTCTTTAATGAATAAGGCAAACTGAGTAGTGCTCATTAAAAAATTAGCATTCCAACTTAAAAAACAGTGACATAAGCTACTTGGTTGTACCTTAACTTCTTATAAAGTACCCCAAATTTGAGAAAAAAAAAAAAAAAAAAAGAAAAAAATCCGTATCTAAACCCAGCAATATATCTAAAAGGGTACTAAACATAAGTACGAGGGAATGACATTTTGTTGATCAGCTTGAAGCAAACAGACCTATTCTGTCCCAGTGCATGTCACAGTGAACTGCACGGTGTGTACAGATAAACCCACAATTACACAAACAATCCATAGCATTTTCAGCACTTGCATGCTGAGGAGGTAGGTGCCCTAGAAACACTGCAGCTAGACTGATTATTCCAATCTTTTAAAAAAAATATCATACAACCTGATTGACCACAGACTCTGTAACAGTTTTTTAATTAGTGATACAAAACTCTGGTCCAGAAGGGTCTGGCATTAACTCCTGTCAAAAGCACACCTTTACAGTTTGTATAACACCCTTTTAACTATATTTTTAAGCAACAGCTACTAAGAGATAGACAAAAATGCGTTGTGCATTATGCTGTATACAAAAAGGAGACAAAACTATCCTTTTCCCCCCCAAGCCATGGTGGGAAGTATTGCTGACCTTGTCCTTAAAAACCTGCAGGATTGTTTATTCATCAGTATATCATTATTACACTGGTAAGAAATTCTGTATAACATCTGCATATATCGAAGATTTTTTAAAAAATCTGATATGATTTTAGATCCGCATGACCAGTCACGTGACCTGCTTGAGGTTGATTAGCACCTTTCAATACATATATATTTTTATATATAATAGATCTTTTTAAAAAACTTCTAACAATGAGCTCATACGGAAGCATGAGCATGCTGTAACGAGATGACAGATAAAGATGGGGTTGGATGACTTTTTTTTTTTTTTTGCAGCAGAATGATTCCGTTTGTGCTCAGTTTCCCTATAAGGGCAAGAAAAAAACCAACACAACTCTATCAGGTAGCCACTTGTTCACAATTTCCACTTGAGGACTAATCCATTTAAAAGTGTTCCCCAAGTAGAAACAAGACAACAGTATCATCCAAAATAGCCTCTGTATAAACATCTAGTAATTTTTGCAGCTTCTGGCTGGCATCTCTTGGCTCCTGAAATTTCAGGCCCTCTGCTTATAAATTAAGGCATCACAACTGAAAATGTTAGTATTTGGACATCAAATGCTGTGGATGAAGGAATACCAAAGACCTTCTACATGAACCTCCATGGAAATTAAGTGGCAAAGCTAACCTCGCAGAAGAGATGAGCATAATTTATCCAGATCTGGTTTTGAAACCCTATTGAAGCGTTTTTACAATTAGGCTGATTTTTCTTTAACAACCGAGTTTTAATTGATTTTATCTATTGGAATTTTATATATCTCTATCTTTACAAACATTCATGATTCAAAATAACTGGAATTTCTGCGTACTGTGGTTTACTCACTAGTATTAGGAAGGTCTTTTCTGTAGTAGACGGCACGTGTTGTCCCCTAGAACACGCACTGAACTGCAACAGGTATCGGCGGGAGTTCTGCAGGCGCCCGAGCGAGGAGCTCGCTCCTGCCACGCACCGGGCTTGCACGTACACCACGCATACCCGTTTCTAAATCCTATTTTTACAGCAGGAAGAAGTTCCAATCAGTTTTCTCTCTTCTACCATGTGGAGGGGTGTCAGAATTATTACACAGTACTGACAGCTCTCAAGTACTATTCCTGCAATAAATGAAAACATGTAAAATTATGGCATACTTGTCCTGTGCTCTTTCACAACAGTCTTCTTTTTTCTTTTTTAAACAATAGTTACCTTTATCTAACTATTCATGACTTGATAAAACTCAACAAGTTCAAAAGCAGAAGAAAGAACGAAACAAGGAGTTTTCTTTTCCAAAAAAAAAAAAATCTCACTTTAAAAAAATCCCCAAAAACCTGATGCCAGAGCAGACTCAATACAGTTTGCAAGAATGTCTGGCGTATTTGCTATATTTTTTTCTATGAATTTTATATATAAGTATATAGTTATGTCATAGTCAAAGGCACTAAAATCTAAATCCATTTTCTTCCTAATATGACATCTGCTACTCACCAACCTGTTTTTAAAAACAAATGTCACTCCTAAGTTGAGATCATCAGAAAGGCATCGTCTCATCACAAATGCATTATTATGACTAGTCGTGACAGGGCTGGCCTGCCCGCGATTCCCAGCACAGAACGGGAGACAAAGGTACCTGGTAGCTACTGGACTCCGTCACGCCCTACCAATTAGGCCACTTGGTTCTGAAAATGCTGCCATGTTAACATCACCTCTCCTTGTACATGTAATCGCTTCTCTTCATCCAAAAAAGCATTTTGTCTGTCAGCCCTGACGTCTTGGCTGTATGTGCTGGATCTGAAGATCATGTATATAGCTACATGAAATCTTCACTGTGGGCGTGAGATATTGTACACACAACATTATTAAGAACGTTATGAAAATGCAATTCATTGTCTAGCATGATACCTGAATCTGATATGTTTCATTCCCTGTCACACCTATTAATGCAAAAGCCATGAACGCCTTTTTGCTAAGCAAAGCATCCCTAACTGTAATCCTTAAACTCTTCCTTCCATCCACAGTCACAGAAAGCCTTGATTGATATAATTCAATGTTAATGAAGTAGAAATTTAAAATTTCATAAAAAACCCAAGGGCTATATATGCTGCAAAAAAATCTGCAGTGACTCAATAATAAAAAAAGTATGGGATCTTTGTAGTAATGCAGTTTTCCCTCCCGTTGCCACGATGAGCTTAACCCAACTAAGAAGCTTCAACATGGCAACGGAAACTATCATCATAAAATGGTACAGTAATAGAGATAGCTAGACCAAGAAGGGGCAGGGTCTCCTGGGAAGAGGTCTGCAGAGAGGTCCAGTGACTGGTCATGCGGCTCAGTGTCAGGAATAATGGTTGTACGGTGGAAGGGGGTGCCCAATACCATTTTGGAAGTGATGGTGCTGACGATGGGCAAGGTACTCTGTGTAGCTCATCGTCATCTTCTCACTACGGTACCTAGAAAAGAGCAAAGCAGCAAAATCAAGAACTGTTACCAGGAAGCTATGAGGAGCACTAGAAATGCCGCACTCGTGGTGTGTTTAATGGTGACAGCTCTGCACTTCTGATGTTAGGAAGAAGAGTAACTTCAGTTGCACAAGGGCAGGGAGGGAACCACCATGGTTGTCAGGGTCATTCTTGAATCACGTAAGTGCTTCTTAAAAATATTTTAAGCGAACAGGAGTTAGAAATTGTTGCCTACTCTGTTGCTCGAAGTAGAGGGACAGAAGCTCACGATGATTTATTGAGAATGTCCCATATCTTCAGCCAACTCTCTACAAAAAAACTAGGAGAAAAACTGTAAACAAGCACTACAGATTTTTGGGCTGTTTTTAAACAACCAGTATCAATTGTCTCCCAAATTCTGCTTTTAAAATAACCCCAGCTACATTAAATGGAGTTACATTATTTTTAGACTCGAATCACAGTATCTCAAGTTGGAAGGGACCCATAAGGATCATGGAGTCCAACTCCCTGCTCCTCACAGGACTGCCTAAAACTAAACCATATGCCTAAGAGCATCGTCCAGACGCTCCCTGAACTCTTGACAGGCTTGGCGCCGTGACCGCTTCCCTGGGGAGCCTGTTCCAGTGACCGACCACCCTCTCAGCAAAGGACCTTTTCCTAATGTCCAATCTGAACTTCCCCTGATGCAGCTTCATACCATTTCCTTGTGTCCTATCATCGGTCACCAGAGAGAGGAGATCAGCACCTCCGCTGCCCCCCTTGAGGACGCAGACTGCGATGAGGTCACCGACTGCGATGAGGTCACCCCTCAGCAATGAGGTCGCCCCTCAGGCTTCTCTTCTGCAAGCTGAACAAGCCAAGCGACCTCAGCCGCTCCTCAGAAGTCTTGCCCTTGAGGCCTTTCACCATCTTGGTCGCGCTCCTCTGGACACGCTCTAATAGTTTGATGTCCTTCTTATATGGAGGCGCCCAAAACTGCACACAGTGCTCAAGGTGGGGCCGCACCAGTGCGGTGTCGAGTGGGAGAACCCCCTCCCTCGACTGGCTAGCGATGCTGGGCGTAATGCACCCCGGGACACGGCTGGCCCTTTTGGCTGCCAGGGCACACTGTTGACTCATGTTCGACTTGCCATCAACCCAAACCCCCCGATCTCTTTCCGCGGGGCTGCTCTCCAGCCTCTCGTCCCCCAATTTCTATGTATAACCAGGATTACTCCATCCCAAGTGGAGAATCTTCCACTTGCTCTTGTTCAATTTCATACAGGTGGCGACTGCCCAGCTCTCCAGTCTATCCAGATCTCTCCGTAAGGCCTCTCTGCCCTCGAGGGAGTCCACAGCTCCTCCTAGTTTAGTATCATCAGCAAACTTAATGTACATTTGACTCCTGTGTCCAGGTCATTTATAAAAATATTAAAGAGCACTAAAATTGAGCCCTGGGGAGCCCCACTGGTGCGTGGCCGCCAGCCTGCTGTAACCCCATTTACTAAAACTCTTTGAGCCCGACCTGTCAGCCAATTGCTCACACAACGTATTATGGACTTGTCTAGCCGTGTGCTGGACATTTTGTCCAGAAGGATACTGTGAGAGACAGTATCAAAAGCTTTGCTAAAATCAAAAACCTCCACGCCTACTGCCTTCCCTTGGTCAACTAGATGGGTGACCTTGGCATAATAGGAAATGAAGTTGGTTAAGCAGGACTTTCCCCTCAGGAACCTGTTCTGGCTATGATCAATGGCTGCGTTGTCTCTCGAGTGTTTTTCAACAGCTCCCAGAATAACCTTCTCCATAATTTTACCAGGCGCTGAAGAGAGGCCTGTAATTGCCAGGGTCTTCCTTCTTACCCTTCCTGAAAAATGGGACAACATTTGCCAGCTTCCAGTTGACTGGGACCTCTCCAGACTCCCAAGACCGTTGAAAAATAATGGAGAGAGGTCCCGCAATAACATCGGCCAGCTATGCGTAACTAAAAGCAGAGTCCAGGCCCTGAAAACAAATATTTTGGATATACTTGCATCAGTATTGTTTGACAACGAGGAACACATTGCCACATTTACACTTATCCGGAGAAGTGCAAAATCTACACAAACCCAACACTATTCCACATTTCCGCAAATTTCACTTAGAAAGACCTTGCATAAGAGATCTGACAGATGAGATCTGGTGAATCCAGCTACTGATTTAAAATGCTGCCACCTCTCCTTTCTATCATATTTTTCTTCTGGAGTTGTTCTGGTTGTTCTCTCCTCTTTTAGGTCTGCGAAAACCACAACAGATGGCTCAACCACTTGCACTCACAGCCCAACGCAAAAGTTTAAACTACCGTGGAGTTACCGACTGCAGCAATGAAGGTGGCACACGCATTTGCTTCAGTTGCTTTTTTGCCAGGGGAACAGGGCAGAACATCTTACACTTGCAGCTTTTTGCTTCAGTGGACGTGTTTCAGAGCACCAGAGGTGCCCACGCTTACTTGACACAGCAGTGTTTGTTAATGATGTACTAATTTAACAAACGGCCGCTGGTCCTTGCCGAGAGATGAGCTGCAGCTCTTCTTGAGCTGATGTGAGTGGCATGCGGCACTCCGCGCTTGAGGAGTAAGCTGGTCTGTGAATGAAACCCCCTGCCGCTACGAAAGGGAACGGTAAGCTCGGGAGTTAATGAAGCGGGCTGTACGTGGGTCACGGAGCAGGGGACAGGCAGCCTGGCGGGGGTCACATCTGCTCACTGGAGCTGACGGAAGGGAAAAATGCCGTTACCGTCCTTATGCGCTCTAGCCCCCAGAACTGGGACCCTTCTTTCAGCTCCACTGTTTTTTAGTTCTCTTCTTCAAAACACGGCCAGAACTATTGGGTATTAACTTGAAGTGAAGATAGTTAGCAACAGGCTAGTTTTGATCAGCTTAAAGCTTTATTCACACACAGGACATTTACTTTAATTCAGAGACTTGAAAGAAGTTAAAAGCACTTATTCCACTCTTCTAACAGATGTTTTACTGTATGACAAGAAGTTATTAAAATGAGGCTCTAAAAAGGGTGGTCTGATGCTGGGAAATGGTTACTATTTTAATACTCCTGTTTATAATATGTTAGCAGAAGCTGAGTTTTTAAGCAAGTAAAACAGACAGCCAAAAAAAAAAATTCTTCCAAATTAAAAATGATGCTTTGTTTATTCCATTTATCAGGCCAGTGATTTTGCTAGCAGTTTGGATGTCGTGAACTGAAATCCACTAAACACGGGGGTTTTGGTGGGGTTTTTTTGGGGGGGGTGTGTGGGGTTTTGGTTTGGTTGGCTGGTTGGTTTTGTTCTGTGCTCACATGCCATTGCTCCAAACAAAATCATGTAGCTGGAAGAAAACGCTATATAGAATTTTTGTTTCTTGGAAAAATATATTCCTTATTTACTGTGCTGTACAGAAATTGTCATTTAAGAACTATAACATCATTACTCTTGCCCTCAGCTATCTCCACATATTCTTTTTGAACAGAAGATAACAAGGTGTATAGCTGAAATAAATTAAAAGGAGACTGGGGTTCTGCATTTGGAAATTTAGCTGGATTCTGTAAATCCTTCCTCCCTAATTTAACCTTCAGAATAGCATGTTTTCCTTAGTCACAGCTACTCCCCAGTAATCAGGTTCCTACGAGAATCCAGAATTCTGAACAGCCACTGTGACACAAAGTCTTTATTCTTCCTCCACAAGACCACTGATCAAGTGATTCCTCTAATACCAAAACATTTACTTCTCTAAGAAAGGCTTTGCCTTCTCTCTGGTCTAAACATAAACTACTGCTAAGTAATAGCAAGATTTGTAGATGAAGATGACAAACGTGGAAGCTGCAAAGAACCAATATCTCAGGTCTCTGTCCTAAGAAAGTGCACAAGCAATCAGGAGAATCCAAGTATTTTCAAATGTCTGAAATGAAAGGATTAGGTTTTAATTAGGGACAAGGAAGTCAAGTCTGGCTTACACCTAGCTGCACTAAGGAGGAAAGAATTTCCAAAGAAATCCAGACACAGAAACAAGAGTAATACAGACAACATTTTTAGAACCGGTCTTGTGACCCTGTGAGTCCCCAAAAGTTGATAAAAGATAGGAAGGAGAACAGTTTGGGGCAAAGGATTCATCTCAAGTGTGGCCCCCCGAAGAGGATGAACAGTCAATACTTCCTTATGATTCAAAAAATTCTTATTTCTCCAAGCATGGAATAGATCACTCGAGTTTAGCACTCATTTTATACTGCAAGCTTATAAAAATACGTAGTTTTAGAGGCGTTCTTATAGACATTTACTCCTCCACCCGTCACCATGTAACTATAATATTATGGGCAGAATATCTGCTGCTAATTCTAAAATATTGTGGCTCCCACCCACTAAGAAGCCCTCAAGAACATGTATTATTAAATTAGCAAAATCAAAATAGACCAGTGCGTGAGAGTGACAGAGTATGAAATAAAACACTAAATTCTTGTCTCGCTCCTGAGAACACCCCGACACAGTTTAACTGTTTAACTAGCCCACTGACTGTCACAGCAGCTACCTAGTTTGCCTACCCAACACCTGTTAGGATAAGGGAAACCCAGACTCTGCAGGAGATAAGAAAGCCCCAAGGCCTTCTTTGGGAACCGAGGAGATGACTAGGGCTGAGGGGCCCCCCTGACTTCGCGGCGGCAGACCCGCAGCGCACCATCTGCTCAAACACGATCTGACAACGGCAAGTAATCCTTGTTACCAGCCCCTGAAGATCCCTTGCAGCCCAGGAACAAACCGTAAAAAGCAAGAGCAAATACACGGCTAAGATTTTTCAGAGTTAGGAAACAAAATATGCAGGTACCCTGATACATATGGAGCCTGATATTTAACAACAGCCTTTTCTTTCTTGCTTAGTGCCACTAACCCCTATGCAAGGCACAGATCATCTCAAAAGTCCGTACTGCTACTGTAAAAAGAAAGAAATCATTAATAATATATACAGGAAAGCTTGCTATTAACATCTGAAATAAGCACTTACCAGGAACGAACACATCACAGTATTACAAAAACAGGACTTATCTGTGGTATCCCATGCCGCATACCTGGTTAGCTTTATTGTTTTCCTGAATTCATTAGTAATCGGAGCTTTGTAGCCTCCTTTCCTCAATAAGGAATCTATGGTTTGAATGTGGTCCCATCCTGTTGAAAAATGCATGAGAAATACAGCAATAAGAATAGATGTTACAAAACTACAGTACAGTACGCAGTGTTGCTGATAATGCAAGTGCTCTGCTGAAGTGCTGCATAAAGCACAGGCCATTCTTCCCTGCTTAACAACAGCTGAAGGAAACATGACGTATAGGATTTCTTTACACACAAAGTTCACTCTACAAACAACTTATATTTTTGTCTCATAGTTGAAATATTTCACAAGTGGACCCACTACATCCAGGTGTCCTAGATGGGGGCGAGCCACAAAACTAAACTTTTCTGAAACGTTCAGGTCTGAGCATGTATCACAATCACTTTATACATTATAAATGGCTATGACAGTATGAAAAATTACATTTCTGTATAAAATAGAATTTAAAAGAATTATTAGTGAACATGTGCAGAGAACTTCAGAGATTAGACTTCTCCATAAATACCACTTAACTTGACAGTGACATTTCTAATTTCAGAACTACTGTATTATATTATAGGTGGCTGGGTAATTAAAAAAGTGATGGATTAAAAATACAGATTCGTTATTGTTCTCAATAAAATCTTCATGCTATTCAAAACTCCTATTTATCGATTTAAAAAAGCCTAAGATTTGAAATAGCTGTTAGACATATTATTTCCAAAAGATGCAATTAGATTAGTCACATTGTTACACTAAAAAAAAAAAAAAATAGTTTTGGGTACATTAAAAAATACAAATTGGTAGTTTTGGGTACTTTGAAGAGTCAGATTGCAATGCACGCTCTACTAAAACTATTTAGAAATTTAAACACACACACACACACCCAATTCCTAAATTTAAAAAAAGCTTGTTAAGCGATCCCCAAAGGTCTTGACAAAAAACCACTTCTCTAACTAGCCGACCTTAGATTAGAAAAGCAAAAGAATTGTCTTGGAAACCTCTAACCTTTTAAGTGACTATTTGGAAACAGAATTATCAATTAAAGATGATCCCCAGTAAAGGTTTCATCCTATTCCTTAGGGGGAAAGAAGAAGAAAAAAAAAAAGCAGCAATGCAAAACGTCAAAGACTGAGACACACTGTCAAGCTTGGGGAAAAAAAACCCATGTGAATATTCACAGTCAGTTGCTCAGTCCAGAAGATTCCTATTCAACAAAATCTAATATAGGGTTTTTTTAATTCACAAACTTAGGCCTGTACCTCTCTTAAAAGGGACTTTAACAACATTATTTTGGACTTTTGTATTGGAAGGAATTCCCTTCCACCCATCAAAAACCCCAGGAAGCCAGTGTTTATAAAAGGCATTCAGTACTAGCAGAAAGTCCCTAACTGAAAAAAAACCCAACCTTGATCATTGCGAATCTAGGAATAAATCAGCTGTTAAGATACCTGACCAGCCATCCCATCACTTGATCGAGTTTGTGCATGTCACTAATGTCACAGCGTAACAACTACACGAAAACTGACAGCTTTTAACAACTGTAAAGTTGGTTGACAGCACTGTACCACCCCTCCGTATTTTATTTTTCTACAGCTACACTGCATTTATGACTTTTTTTAAAAAAACAGCTACAGTTTACTGAATCTCTAGAAGGGGATTGATACAGGCATGGAATTGGCATTTTATAGAAGAGTCTTCTTACAATTAAATATTGCTCCATCATCTGACATCAGTGCAAGGTCAAATATTGCATTTTAGATTTATATGTATGTTTAAATTCTTCACCAGATCATATGAAATAAAGTGCAACAATGACCTTGCTCCTTTGCAACCTCCGGTAAGTAGGTGGCGGTGCGTTTTGATCCTTTTTCGTTGATGAATTCTATTCTAATGCCATGTACACCCACCTGCAAGAAATTGGCAGCTTTATTAGTACATTAAAAGAAAAAAAAAGATACAAGAGATTTCTAACATGATAAAACTCAAAACGTGAACCTTTCAGTGGTTAATACCATTTCGCAAAGAGTTTCGAGAGGTGGTACCGAAGCGAATGTCGTCTTTTTGAAAGGTGTTCACTGCAACAGCCTCGTACGGTCAGCAGCGGCACAAATATGGTCCTCAGCTCCCCGCCACAGAGCTTCACTTCTGGTCTGAAGGGAAGCCAGCTGAGACGCAAGTCCTTCTGTCTCTGAGGCTACTGTCAGCATGGTGTTGCTGATACAATCACCTGGTCACCAGGTAAAATCTGCAGGCAACCAAACAGCTGGCAAATCTCATGATGCTTCAATTAAGAGCATTCATTTCGTTCAAAGTAACAGCTGAACATCGGAAGATTTGTCACGCTACGGCCTGGAGCCTTCGGAATTGCTGCTAATGTGTAACGAGGAGAAGGAGATATTCCAAAGCATTCAGCTTCAAACTCCTATTTCCACGCTACGAAGTACTCTAATATGACAAAACGCCAGTATGGAAACCAAAATGACTAATACCAAGGAGTTAGACGTATATAAAGTTGAACTGCCAAAAAAAAAAAAAATTAAAAATAACGACATCAGGCTGGGCACCCTTCCAGGGCCTTGTGTGAGCACCCGTTTTCCAAGTACGCTAATTCTGTTGCGAGTACCTGCGCTGCGATCAGGCATGCCATAAAAGATACTCCATTGCCAGTAAGTTTGCAGTTGCTTTTCAGTTCTGTGCGTAAACACAAAGCATCAGTAGACGGACATTTTTATTTTCATGCCCACATAACTCAGATGTTATTTCCATTTAAATCTAAAGTTCCCAACATTGTACGTGGAAACAAATAGTTTATGTTTAAAAGGGTATTATGTCCTTTGGTATGGCACTTCTTTTTGGACACAAAATTAATCGAAAAATGCTGTAACACGTTTTCCAGTAACAAGCTATTTTACTGTAACTGCATGACAGTCAAAAAAAAAATAAGGAATATTTACAAAGCTCTACCACTTGTTCAGTTAACATATTTGCTTATATTAAGACTTTATTTTTCAATCTTTATAATCTTTCTATACGATATAAGCACGGGGAAACAGGAGGAAGAGCCTCTCTTGTGGCTGGCCATGGCCTCAAGAATTTTTCCCCATGATCCTAACATTTCTTAAATAGGAAAAATTACTTTGAGACTAACGAATTTAATTCACTGAAAATTTTAATGTGGTCTTTCATTACCAAACGCTCCTACACCTTTCCTAACACGGCTATATAATCACTAGAGAGATCAAATCTGTATGCTCAGATGATATAATTATGAACCCAAAGGACCTGAAAGTAAAACGAAAGCGTTAGAAGCTGAAATGAGCCTACAGAGTTTATTCCAAGAACAGAGTAAGTTTTTGCAGCTGGTGATTTTTTAACTGTCTATATTCAATTGCCTAAGCACTAAGATCAAATATTTTCAGGGTTTGCACACCTTCAGATCCTGCAGAATATCAGATTCTAAATTCTACACAACTGTTTTTTGCATAATAGCGATCCCCTAGTACTCCTGAGAAACCAGCCAGGAGCACTAGTGATGCATTAAGTCCGGAGCCCCGTTCAAGCAGTAGGTAATTGCGTGGCACTGGATGTTTCCCTTAACCATTTTAATGGACTTTTAGGCCCATGTCTGTAGAAGAAAAAGATGTAGAGCAAAATGAATAAGGCAACACGATTGCACCCACAATTCCTCTGGTTGGGAAAATGTCATAGCGTTCTGTGAAGCATGAATTCCAACTGCACAGCTAAGCAGTATTCTCAGTCCAGTACAAACGGCTTTTCATTGTTCAGCTCCAGTTAATCAAAAACAGGCCCAAGTTAAACAAATGGGGGCCACACACAAGCAAAATAAGAATGATCCACGTTAAGACTGGCACGGGCACAGTTAGGATTTTATTTGGACTTCCTCAGGAGACCAATGTTCCTGCATTGATGAAAACTTCTGTGAAATTGCCCCAAATATTCCTCTCTAAGATGGTGGGTAAGGGGGAGGTGCATGTTTGGAAGGCATTAACTGGACTGCACCTGGCTTGCCTACCAGGCTCAGCACAGAGCTTTCTACAAAGCCTACGGCGTGCTTCTCAAACTGAAAACACTGACACACTACAGGCAAGCTTTTGTAGAACAGCAACATCTGTGCAGTTCAGAAGAGCAAACCAATCTTCTTCTGCAGATGGCGTTTCAGTCCTGTCTCATCTATGACCATTTGTTAGGAAATACCTACATGCAGGTATCCTTCTGAGCTGCAAAAAGAGCACCCAGTTGCCGTACCGGCCTCCCAAAGGGACAGGAGTCTGATTAAATGGAGAGGGAAGTGAGGGAAGGAGAGAGGCTTAGAAAGGCGACAAACCAATCTCCTCCAACAGGAATATTTCTATAGGGTCTTAGAGCATGAAATACTGTATACTATGTATCCAGTACTTGGGAATATAAACTTTTTGGCCCACTGTATAAGTGGCCAGCAGCTACCTAAAACTAGGTCCGCTGACAATATTAATTAAAAACCACAGACCTCTCACTAAATCTAAGGATTGCATTAGCCTACATGTTTTATTTTACTTCTGAAGTGACCTCAACAGAACTTCAGACTTTGTGGTGTATTTATACACATTCATATTCCTTTATACACATTCTTGTTTTAATGAATCATTTATTTACATTTACTACACCACATTTATTGTTTTGCCGAGCGCTTCTGGCACTTGCTAGATAGATCGCTGCCCATAATACGTCTCTCTCTGTATCCATCTCAGTTGGGCTAAGAAAAACTTGTTCCCCAAAAAACCCACTCCACAAGCAAAGTTCAGGCAACTCTCACGTTCAACGGTTCTGACTCAAAGTTCCAAACACGGTTTACAAATCTGCTCCTTTTGTACTGACTCTCCAACCATACTGAGAGGAAGAAATAACATTATTCTCGTTGACTACCAACATGGGACTGGGATAAGCATCTAAAACAGCAAGCCTTGTTGAAATTTAAGCTTCTACTCCACCGCGGAGTAACTTCTAATCAAATAATCATTCTGTTCAGTTTTATGTACTGCACCGAAATCTCTAAAAGATTTGCAATATCACTAATTAGTTTAAGATTAATTAATTGTAAACATTTTTTCAGAAATACATTAAAGCAGGTAACAAAGAATCTGTTACAAAGGATCCACATGGATCCCCCAGAGCTGCAGTAGTGCAACACCTCCTCGGTGTTAGAAACAAGTGTAACCTGTACGGTATTCCTTAGGATTCCACATCACCCAGGAACGTCCCCTTTATTTACCCAACTGGTACTATGGAAATAGCTGTACACAAACTGGTCTGGAAGTGGAACACTTCAGATGGAGCAACTATTGCTACTTATTCCAAGCTGACCCCACTTTTTATTAGCTGAATTCTACAGCTTTTTAGCCTCACATTTGTAGCAAATATGCTGGCTTCTCTCTCAGCTTCTTCAGTAGGGCTTAGATATTACATTCTGATTTAGCAATGGAGGCAAAAGACTACTCAGGAGATACGCCCTCCACCTCATGGCAAGCATTCTTTTTTTAATGAATCATTTACATACATGGACTCACTGAATATTGTCCAAAGAGAATAAAATATTGAGATCAAGACCCTCTCCTCTCTGTTCTAAGGAATACAAGCTGCCAGAGTTGCTGGTGCCGCTGCACTTGCGGGAAGGAGAGAATTTCCGTGACTCTTAAACGTACTAACTTTGTCAACAATGAAAAGCCACCTTTCAGTCAACATTATTTGCTACAACTAGTTAAGCTAATATTTAAACCAACGCACACAGGCTAAAGGCCTTTTGTAGCAACACAGCAAGCGTGTACAATTCTGCAGATTTTACTTCACTGAAGAACAGCAACTTCAGGGCAAAGATGTCTTTCAAGGTATTTTAAGGAAGAGCCGCTGGTCAGTTCTAGTTATTTATTACCCTGTTGGAATGACAATAATGTTTTCCAAAAGGTTTCCTATTCTAATTACATACAATCATAATGTTTATGTTGTTTTAATTAAAAAAAATGGGGAGAAGGTCTGAATTAGCACGGCAGGCTTTACCTTGTAGCAAAAAACCCCACAGATTCTTAATTAAATTAATGAGAAAATAAATTAAAAGTGTTCATTTGCTATAACATGAAATAGAGAGGGAACGAGTAGAGGCATTTTGCTTTTCTCTTCTGTATTTCTAGGAGAAAAAAGAAGCACGCAGGGGATACATGAACTCATTTGCCATTGTACGTACCTCGCAGCCCTGCCCTTGCAAGGAGGCAGAGCCCGTTGCAGCGAAGCTGGCACCGCCAGACCTACAGCATGAGCACACCTTGTGCGTGCCGCTTCTGGGACCTGAATCCACTCACAGGACTTTCTGAGCGTAGGCTTATTTGCCCAAATTGCAGACTTACACGCTTTGCAAACCAAACAGAAGTTCTTTCTAAAGGACCCAAAGCCATGATGCTTCACAGCAATCTATTCAATCTCTTCTCCACTCCTTCGTTTGGGGTGCTGCTAACTACACACACAGGTCCCAGTGCAACACGAGATTCAAGTGCATCTGCATTAAGAATCAACAGCAAAATTGGAGGCATCCTGAGGCAGGAATTCAAATTTGTATAGGGAAGAAAAGACTTGGCAGGAGGACAGATCAAAAAGATGAGCTCGAGGAGAATGGAAATATGGATAAAGCCGAGTTTATGTGGGGAAGGAATGACTGCTATCAATATCACGTGTGCTCAAAAATAATTGGTCTTTATGACTTGTCTCCCAAGTAGTCCTTTGGTATCTGATCTTTTATTAAAGAGCGGTACTATCAAAAAAGAAACCTGTCTTAGAGTTTCTCCTGTTGCCCGTTTCTTTGAGATGGAAAGGCTGTGAAACCACCCCAGCAGCAACTGGACCACAGCAATATTTCATGGGTTCTGCCTAGCAGAAACGAAGAAACCGTTCATACTCTCCCAGTGTTCGTTTCAAAGCCCTGCATCTGTTCAACTACTGAAGTGCACAGCAATTCATAGAAAGTCACATGTAAGGAAGAATGCTAAATTATATTTTAGGAAGCATCCTCATGAACCATGGCACTGAAGTGGTCCTTTGAAGGTTTGCACTTTCTCCTAGTTACGTTTATAAAAGGTGAAAATGGCAACAATTTGAAAAATCATACGGGAGCTAATAGCAGTCAATTCACTCGTATCTCCTGTTTACTTGGTTGAAGTTTCTGCTGCAAAAGGACATCACATTGCTTTGTACAACTGAAATATTACTTTATTTAGTCTGGGAAGATAATTCATTAATCAGAGAAAAGAAGACCTATCTCTGTGCTTCAGGATACAGGAGACACTCCTGAGCTGTGTCTTCAAACGATCTTGTCTCTAAGCCACCAGAGCACTGCGAGTTGTCTGAATCGGCAATTTTGAAATATTGTGACCTCTGTCAGCAAATTGCTGAATTGGCTCCCACAAGATCATCAGTAGCGTACCTACACAAGTAAGGTCTCCTAACCAGGCTGATGTTTTTCAGAATGATCTGGAAATTAGCATTATACGAGATGAAAGATGAAGAATCTCTCTTTACGTCATACTCTAGACATCCTGAAATGTCTTTTTGCCATTAATATTTCATAACTGCAGCTCCCTTAAAAGAAACATGGATGACACAAGCTGTCTCACTGACAGGGGCACAAACAGGGATGAATCATTCTTTTAAGGACTAACAATTACAAATTTTTTCTTTCCCATATTTATACAACCCCTTGCCCCTTTTGCATGGAAAGCTTGTGGATCATCCACAAATTGTATATGATACAATAACTTTAGAAGCACGTTTAACTTAAAGGGGAAAAAAACCCAAAACAACAAAACCCAACAAAACCAAACCCAAACCAAATCATGGAACCTACTTTGTGACCATTTCTTAGAATTCCTAGGAATTTGGTAAAGGTTTTACAGACCTATCATTAAAAAACCTTAAATGAAATAGGAGAGAGCAACTAAGCAAATGGAGAACACAAGGACTATTGGATTTTTGACCCCTCCATTCTTCCCTCCTAAGTCAGGGCTCTCCAGTAAGAAGAATCGTGAAAATCCATGAAATCAATCAGACCTGAGCAAGACTACAGTTCTGCATTCAGTTTGTTTACACTGTTGTTGAAGTCTCAAGGATTCTGCAACAAGATATAGAAAGGACACAGAAAGTAAAAGCCTCCTTTGTTTCATACAAGTATTAAAGTTATGAAGCAGAAGTCTCCCAAGGAACAAAGTTAAAACCAGTCTTTCCAAGCGAGAGTGGATTTTTGAACTCAGGCTTTGGTTTCAGCTTCTCTTTAAGGATGAATATTTTGGTCATCTCAGAAGTTGAGAGAATAAAATAGCATCGAATAATATTTATAGACCACCACATGGAAAGAGCTAAATGCTATTTCATTATGCACTTCACAGTTTTAAAGTGACATTTTCTGAGTGTATTCATAGTCTGATTTTTAATAAATTCTAATAAATGAAATTGAATTGAAAACATCACTATGGTTACTACCAGAAGTCAACCTAGTAAAGCAGAAAAATTCTACCAGTTTTAATTTTGACTTCTAGCTTGGTTTAGTATTAAAAGTCACTACAGCTTTGATTACTCGAAAACATTGTTTAAAGTACTCTAAGGGCTCAGTGGCAAGACAAACTACTGCTCTGAAAAAAGCTTCGTGTTGAGAATGCCCACACAATTTCAGCTAAGATTTATTTTTTGGTCTGACATTACATAAAAAATGAGTAATTCTGTTTATGGTGAAAATGCTGATAAGCCCCAAAGGAAACTCATTGAGAATTACATATCAGGAGGCAAGAAGCCCTTGTCATTCTGAGCTGAACAGGAAACCCATTTTTATTAGATTTTTCAGCTACTGTAAAATCCATAATGCTGAGGTTACTGCTGGATACCACCACTCTGATAGAGCAGGGCCTCTTACCATTTTAACAACAAATGAAATTTCTATTCAATATACATTTGTTATGTGTGAATACAATAGAAAGCCTCTTTTTCTCTTAAGAAATCCTAAATATTTAGTAGGGCTAAGTCAGTATTAAAGGGAAATACCATAACTTGTGTGGTGTCTCTGGCATTATAACATGTCCGCTATCATATATGACAATTTCAAAATTTTTTTTACGTCCACTCAAATGTAGACTCAAAGAGCAACACAGCGGTCATACTGACTGAGATGAGAAATACTGACTGAGATGAGAAGTTCATCTTAAGTCCAGTTACTTGTTTTTTGCAAGTGTCTAATACCAAATAATTTTGGAAAGAGCAGAAGAATACAGAGTAACACTTCCCGCAGCATACCTTCCCAGAAATAACTCTAAAAGCAGCATTTGCTTCTTAATCTCTTTTATGCCGCTGTTCCAAGAGAATGCATGCAGGTTTCCTAGAAACTAACAATTAAAATAGATTCAGCTCCATGCAAAAGTACCAAAGAAAAACAAGGGCAATGATTTACTTGGCCTCACTGTGCAAGGGCTTTGTGGGGACTGTGCAGGCCACTTGCTCCAAAAGCAAAGAAAGTTTTGGGAAAGATAAACGGCTCACTCCTACAAGCTAAACCAGGCAGCTTGTTTTGGGCTTGCAATTTTTTGCAGCGCTTGTTTCCAGAAGCATACATAAAACTATTAACTTTCATACTGGAACATCCTCTTTCCAGAGTCAATGGACTGATCTACCATGTTTCGGTAGTTAGCGCTGCTGCCAAAGAGGTCTCAGGACACCACCGCTCAGACAAGACCTTGCTTGATGGAGCCTTAGACATGAATACGGCTGTGCAGACCGCTCTTACTTTGAGTGCGTAAGTGGGCAAGAGCACAACTTTATTCCATTTTCATGGCTCAGACTTCGAAGGTGATGACAGTTCTACCAGAAGGATCTTTTGAATCTATGCACGGAACAATGTGTATAGAGCACAAAACAGTGACAACTACACTAAATAATATGCAGATAATTTAAAGGGTGTGACTTCTGCTATAGATGTTCATGGTATCAAAGTAACATTCTTAAAAGATAGATGACATCCTTACCTCCCAGTCCATGTAGTCACATACATCTTCAAAGTTAGTGAGTAGAGACACTGAGCAGAAAAGCCGTGGCAGCTCATCCCTCGTCATTGGGGGGAAACGACTATCTTTAAGGGCACTGTTGAAGACAAAACAGAATTTCAAAGGATTTTTTTGTTTGTTTGTTTGTTTTTAAGTTCAGGGATCTAATGAATCAACTGAAAAGTATAAAGGACAAAAAAAAATCCTGATGAAATGATGACCAGTTTGATAATCCAGTTGCCAGTGTAACACGCTGACCAACATTCCCAACGTTTTCCTTAGGCATTTGTTTCGGTTCTTGGCTGGCCAGCCAGGTGGTGGTCTGAGGGTCCTTTCTTCCTGAGCTGATTTTGCTACTGTGACAACCTTATTAATGAAGCAGCAGAAAGTTTTTGGAAAAAGCAATAGCTCTTCTACCTGCAATTTAGTAAATCCCTTTCAAAAAGGATTAAACTATACAACATAAAGTAGAGGGGGAAATTCTATAGCCTGCAATAATCAAACACATAATACAGGAATCAGACTGTAGAACTTAATTATCCAGTGAAAAAAATTCCAACCAAGCATAATATTGTCCAAAAAAGACTAATAGCCATGCTTCCTGGCAAAGGTGAATATAAAAGGCAAAATCATCCAAGGGCTCTACAGACCTGTAAACCTACAGGACTCGAAGGTGTTCTGCAAAGCAGAGGTAATGATTAGTAACAGGGAAGCTTGCAAACAGCTAGGCTAATCCTCGGGCTAACGTACCAGTCTACAGTCAAATGTACACCTAATGGGGTAAAATTCGATAGAGAGAGTAGCTATCTGTGCACATTCCAGCATGCTTTGAAAAACAACGCAGTTAACAGACAGTAAGCAGTACCACGAGTAAGAACATTTGTAAAAACCTACGTGCATCAGTTTGGTTAAGAACCAGTTAAATTGGAAAAGGGAAGGTTAAAGTGAGTATGGCATCTCATAATTTTTTATTCTCTTAAGATTTGCAATATGACATGTATGAATACAAACATGCTCATCTCCAACCAAAACAGTGATCTGCTAACTGAGCTTTTTGATGAGTAAAGAGAATTTAAGAGACTAACTAAAGCACTACCAAGTTCTTCAGGTGTCTCATTGTTTCATCTAACAATTAGATCATTATTCATTTTACTCGGCACACAGCCAGCGGTTGCCATTAGCTGATACAATCACAGCCATGGCCACGGTGTTTAGAATATGGCTGAAGTCTCTGCATCGGATACCACCATTTTATATAAGGAGTAGCATAACTTTATTAAAGCAGAGCAAATAAGGATGCATAAGCAAAAAAAAAAAATGTGAAGTTTAGCTAAAGGAAATCATCATATGTATAAGCAGAAATAGCTTCCCATCGTGAATTAATACCATACACGGAAGAGTTAAAATAGAACCTATATTCTTCTGGGGTGGGGAGAAGGCAGGCATTTTTCCCAGATATGCTACAATTACAAAAACAACATAGTATTGGGATTTGCTTTGGTATTTTTACATTACAAAATAGGTCAGAAATTTAGATCTTCGTTATGAAGACAAATTCGTTATATAATTAAGTAACAGTTAGGGGGGCTACGCTACTCATTATTTAGGAGTAATTCTAGGCAACCCCAGGTGAAGTTGCCATAGATAGGACAGAAGATGTTGGGACTAAGTCACTAGCCAAAATAAATCTTCTGACGTTTATGTAGGACAGACAGGCCTACAGAGACCTGTGAAGAACTGGGAACACTAAGGAGATTTAAAGCATAATGCCTGTGATGTTTAACTAATGACTTTCCCCGAAGATGTATCAAAAGATGGTCTTCTGCAAGATTTTGTTGATGGGATTTGCAAAGCTGGCTCTGTAACTGCTGGGAACCAGGCAAAGTGATCATTCTATGCTGCCTGGTGTTTCAGAGCAACACCAGAGATCAACTCATATAGCCACAGCGTAATAGCAACATAGGAAAATACCAACAGCTAATTCAGCCTTCATATCCCTCCGCGCAGGGGAAAAAAATAATACATATATGTAAAGGGAGAATACTCTGAACACAGGGACAACTCAAACTAGAAGTCCATCTAGCCTAGTACTAAGTAATAACCAACAGCAGTGAGCAAAATGAATGTAAGAACAGAGTAAATACCCAGGGGTACCTTCCTGGAATGCTCTCCAGGAATCCAGCTGTTCAAAGCTTCGGTATTTTGAGCCAGAGATGGTATCTCTGCACTTAAAAGCTCTTCATGGGTTTGTTTAATAAGGGCATGCACACACGCTTTTAGTATTTTACCCCACCTCTTACTAAAGACTAAAAAATTATGTTCAGAAACCCCAATCCTCTTAAAATCCATTGCTACTACAAGGTTGCTTATATGCAAATGGCTCATTTCCCTGAGGTATGCTGTACCTCTACCATATAACCAATCTGTTTGAATAAACTACTGAAAAGCACCCAGAGAGACAAGCATTATTTCATTAAAAACGAACAAATTCAGTTACCTTAGGAAACAACTGTATGCATGGATATTGCCAACGCTTGTTTAAACCTGTTTGTCACAATTTATGCAACAATCTTACCATGCAAAAGATTTCCCATATTGTAAGAATTCCCAACCTTCAAAGAACTTTTTTTTTTTTTTGCACAACTTGCTACTAGGAGTTTATCTAACTTGCCATTGCCCTTCCCAAAGCTGCCAAAATGCACTCTGAATTTCAACTTTTGGAAGCAAAGGTTGGCTACTATGGGTGTAAGCCTGATCCCAATAATGCTAGCACTAAAAGTCTCAGGCAAATTCCCACTCACTGAAGATCCGCTGCACTGGCATTACTAGATGAGAAGCCATCCTTAATTTAACATACATTAAGGTGTACAGAAACAAACACCATGCAATGCACGCGTAAGCCAGATCTCAGCTAGCCTGCTCGAACGCAGAGATAGTAATTTGAAACAAGATGGGTGAATCATGACAGATTTGAGTATTCATAAACAGCTGAGATATGAAACCTTCACGTGAACACAGTGGAAGCAGAAAGGCACCCAAAGGCACACAGAGGCACAAAATCCTCAGGCATGTACAGCAAACAAAGTAGTTCAGTTTTAGTGAAAACAGAGCAATGCAGTGAACATTGCATACTTAGGAGCAAGCTTGGCTGCCTAATTCCAGTATTCAATAACACGACGCTGGCACAAATACCTTCCTTTCACCTACCTACCTCATGACAACTAGGATATTGTTTATCAAACGATAGTGCCATTTCAACTACACCTAGTGCCGCCAGAACTGCTAGGTGCTATTTTATCTGCACAGCCAGCTGAAAAATTGCTCCTCGACACCCCCACGGCTCTCCGCACCCGCGCACATACCCCGTATTAGCACTCAGGCTGCCGAAGGTAAGCGAGATGCCTGGTGGAACAAGATCAGAGATTGGAATAAGTCTCTGACACCACTGTGACTGGTCAACACAGAATATTGCTGCTATTCCATCCCTCCTTTCCCCATCTCCAGACCCCATACTACAATTTGTTTTCAACTTGCAAAACAGCTTTGTCTCTGTTGCTACAGAAGTAAAACCAAAATTTACCCGGAGAAATTTGTGTTGACAAACCACCAGCAATTGGAACAAAACATTCGGAAGGGAGATGCCAACAAGAAAGCATTTATTTGTGCGTGTTAGCTACACATGACATATTCTGTCTGCTAATGCAAAATTTATGAAACTAAAATAGTCCAGCAACTATATCAGGTGCCAGTTTTCGAAGAACTAGCTTAAAACTTAATAAGCCTGCCCTAATTGACCTAGGTGCATCATATACTACTTTAAAAATAGGAGATGTTTACCTTTTAAGTGCTGTATATTACAGTTAAGAGTAGCAGTAGTCTTCTCAATCATTCTTTTATTACTACTATGGTTGAAAGTAAGTTCCAGATGCCTTTTGAACACCTAAGAGCAGACCAACCTCATATCATCTCTTCACAGATTAACTGTTTTCATTTTTTAATGCTTGGTTAGCAGCAGACATACGTCATTAGAGATGCTTCCCTTCAGAATTCAGCCGTTACCCTTCAGCCTAAACTTTATCCGTGTGGGTAGCGAATAAATCACCATCTACTGGCTGTTCTGAAGATGTGAAACAAGGGGAGGGCAGCCAGCAGAGCTCCTCGGGGGCAGCTGTCCGCAGCGCGCCAAACCTAAGCTCGCAATGGCTAAGAGACGGGCATCGCCCGCAGAAGCGGCCGCAGATCTCACCCCTTACCAAGGATAAAAAAGCTTGCATGAGCTTTTACTTTCGTTGTTCTGGGAAGAACGAATATCGGTTTCTAGAAGCAGCAGTTCGGCACTGATCGTACACTTCACACCCTCTACAAAGATGTACGTATGTAAATCCAGACTTTTGCCTCACCTGCCGCGTTAGTATGCCTCTCGGTGACCAATTCAAACCAAGCGTAAATGCAGAGAAGGTAACGTATCCTCGTTTTCCTCAAAAGCTTGTTACTGTTCTGAGCTGTTCAGAATGAAAAGTCACTGTATAATTGTGTGTCGGCATTCTTGATTAATAGAGACTTTATTCTGTTTATTTGATGGAAGCATTATTTTTGTAGTATTAGAACGTGGTGTTACAATCTTATTCAAAGCCATATTCTTCTGTTATTTCTTCCGTTAGAAAGACAAAAGGATTCTTATGGAACAAAATCTGGCATATTAGATAAAATATGGTTTAAAAAAATATTAACTCCACAATTTTTCTGTTAAACTTAGAACTAAGGAATGGTAAGTAAAAATAATTAGTAAAATAAGTTGGAAAAATTCGGCAGAGTTCAAAGCTACTTTTAAAGAAAAAAAATACTATTTTTAAAAGCATTTTCTAAACCATCTGTTCTTTATTTCTCAATGCTCAGAACTAATTTACATGTATTGCTGCTGACTAAATGGAAGTACATGGTAGTGAGGAGCTGAAAAGCAGCAGTGCCAAGCTAGGGGAATTCTCATGTCCTTTCATTGGCCAGCTCCTTTTTCCACACGGAGCTCTGCTCCACGTTAAAAGTGAAGCAGGCAAAGTCAAAATTGAATCCTGTTCAAAGAAAACTATTTTTAGACAC